CGTCAGTCAATAACATGGTGGTACCAGAACTGCTATCTTCACACTCAACTCACACATGGCCCTGAGCTGACATACACACACTCCTATATATACGATACACAAACACACATGGGCAATCGTACATTGCGTGCTCACCAGTGGAATAAACTCTCACAGGTGCATGCACGAGTACAACACGCACACACAAACGCCAAGGTGCGCACACATAAATACACTACCTGCCAAAAGCCCACGCCTTTGCATAAGGGAAAATGTGCTGAACTGTTCTCAGTAAACAATTACAATAGTAGCAGTCAGACATGGGTGTTAGGGCGGGCAGCCACAATACCCCTGTCACCAGAGAACTATTGTGAAAGGACTTACGAAATTCCATTTTTATACACTGCTTATGAAACAAATGGTTCATCTTGTTATGCGTAAGCACTCTTGTGAAATACCTACAACAAATCTCAAAAATCGACAGAAAGTCTGAGGTGACAGATTCAGCCGCCACATGGTGTTAGGTGAGTTTTATTTACAGTGGTGTGACTGACGCTGCTGAGGGGCTATAAACTGCTATTAGAGCAGAGCTGGATTCCAACACAGGCCTGTGGAATCTAGCCTGGCACATTGTCTGTCTCTGGATTTGACACAGCAGTCTGGGTGCCCAACGCCAGCCAAACAGGCACGCAAACACTACATACATTGACATATAGGAATTCACATACAGACTCCACACTCGCAAGCGCAGGTTGACATGCTCATATTTATGTACAAGCAAAACCACGCATGAAAAGGGGGCTTGTGGAAATAACTTTAAGCAACTGCAGGGATTCAAATTGTTTATTTATAGGCGGCACTGCCTATTAATGGGCTTGGCTCTAACTGCAGAGCTGAGACAGATCTGTTAGCAGGGAGGTGTGATACTGCAGCACAACTCGTCCCTGTAGTGAAAATGGCTCCATGCAATGAAAATGTTTTCCAAGGTATAATGTAATATAATAAGGTAAATATCTTACAACTATTATATGGTTAGAATTAACTTCATTTTCATTTCATTTTCAGTCATATTCAGAATTCAAGTATGAATAACTACACCTGTCCTCATTGCCAATTTGTATTATCAGTAGTAAATATTATACCTAATTGTTATATTCCTGTAAAGAAGATGCTGCCTGAGTTACTGCAAACTAAATTATTAAGATATAAAGTATACACAGACACAAACAAACACACGTTTTATTCTCTACAGATGTGCATTGTTTTGTAATTTATTTTATGTATGTAACCTGATTTTATCTGGGTAAATAAATGTAAATAAAATAAATGACAAGATTCATACATATCAGCTTTCACATACACATGTATGCATACACATTCCTAGAGAGTACAGTTTGGAATAAGAGAACAGAAAAGGTTATTCTCATATTTTCAAACAGCTCATTTAGTTGCATTGGCATAATTGTTTTCAGAGACAAGTGAAGGCCCTTCCCTCAGTCGTATCAATTACGACTCACTGACCTTGGACCAGCTGACTACTTAAGCCTTTTAACTTCAGCACATTCATTTGACATTATCTTGAAAGGATCAACAAGGTTTATGTATATATAACAGCACTGACAAGTCCTCATTAGAACTGCAACCGTGGTGCTATAAGTCTCCTTCATATTTACACACACACACACACACACACACACACACACACACACACACACACACACACACACACACACTACATAAGATACCACTATCTATTCCCAGTCCTGCCCCCTCAGGCATTCTAATCTTTTAATTGAATCTTTTGTAATTATAATGAAATAACTGCGGACTTCCATCAGAGAGAAAATGATCGGGGGCCAGAATGTGCCAGCGGTCACAGGAAGCTCTTACTTCTCTGCCTTTGCTGCCGAGATATACTCCCATTTTCAATTAGCCCCTCAATTCACATTTGAACAGCACATTAAGGGAAAACAAAGAGGCGTGCGTGTGTGTGTGTGTGTGTGTGTGTGTGTGTGTGTGTGTGTGTGTGTGTGTGTGTGTGTGTGTGTGTGTGTGTGTGTGTGTGTGTGTGTGTGTGTGTGTGTGTGTGTGTGTGTGTGTGTGTGTGTGTGGGTGATTGCCAAGTGATTGATCTCTCTAGCAATCTCTCAGTATGATGTAACCCTCTTGTATGTATCACTTGCAACATCACAATTAATATCCAAACAGTGATCAAAGAGATTGAAAATAAGAGTGTATTTTGGTGAGAAAAACACACTTCTCCTTCTTCTGACCCTGGAGAACTGCTAAGCGTAATTGCCTCATTCTTCTACGTAAATGAACATTGACAGAGGGGGGATCGGTCTGCATAGGCTCTCTGAAATGGCTTCCCTGGCAGTTGACTAATTCAGTTCTCATTGACGTATGACTAAATCAGTGTCCATTATCCTTACGCGCAGGGCAGCTCAGATGTAGTACCAGCTCCGTGGTATAAGGCACTTAAGGGCATTACACAAGCAAAGCTGGTTGAAAGGGTCTCCTTTTCAGCAAGCTGACAAGGCCGCCACACATGGTGTAGATCTGACATTGGCCAGGCCGTAGCCTCTCACTAACCTCTGACATTGAGGTCTCCCACTGGTGAACAAAAAAACAGGAAAACTGACCACACACTTTCAAGTCCTCTGACTGTCCCGGGCTAATGGCCAACAACAGTGACACTTATCACCACAGGAGATTTACTGCCATGACAATAGGATGTACTCATTTGGTGGAAGATTTAGGGACACACACATTTTCCACACATCTCTTAAGAAATAGTGTCTGTTTTGATTTATTTTACAAACATTCATGCTTTCACGGAATTCCCCTCCAACACACATTTTCCCACACTATTGAACTATTGTTTCAGACATTAAAAGGCGTAGCTTGACCACAGTAATTCATTGTTGAGTATCATGCCAGAGCCAGGTGACTATTTATTAACCCTGTGGTTATTTTGGTGTGCAGAGTGCATGCTTGTGTTAGCGCGTCTTTAGAAGCGAGACAGGTCCCTCTGTTGTGCAGCTGGGGCGGCTTAATGAGATATCAGACTCAAACATCAATTCATCAGCCTCATTGATGAGGACAATGAGGGGCAACTGCTTCTGCAAAGAGAGGCATTATGGCTCCTCATGTGGGGATAGGGCTGCCTTGTTTACAAAGGTTATTGCGCACAGAGGGCTAGAAACAGTACACCACACCAACCTCCACTTTGCTCTGCTCTGTTAGTCTCAGCTCCCATACCCTCGGGGCAGCTTCTCTGGACTTTTTTTTAGCTCTTTGATTTTCTGAAACAAAGAGCCAATGGAAAATGTTTTTCTGGAATCTGGAGGCCTAATTTTCAAAATGTGTGTGAATGGGCTAAAAGGAGAGGCCATAGAAGTGTGATTGATTAAATAAACAAATCTCATCTTGTTATCATCAGGGCTTCCCTAGCTAACAGAGCAGGCCGAGCAGGCTGGAGTCCCCCCTGGCCTCGGCCTCCAATGACAGGGCATCTGTCTTCATTAAAGCTCAGCCAGTGTGCATGACAGCCACTGAAACGCTGGTGTCTTCACGATTAATGAAGACAGATGACTCCCCCCAAGAGGCAGCGAAAAGGAACAAAAAGCAGGATGACGAATAAACAGGAAAATACCAAACAAAGAATTCAGAACAAAATTCTTTCCAAAAACAACAACACAGTCGTGCTGTTATTCCCACTGCTCTATCTCTTCTTGTGTTCTTGATTGTTTTTCCACTGTCATCTCTGGCTTGACTCTCTCCACACTTCTCCCACCATACCATGCATACACACCCCCACTCCTTTTCTACTCTCACACGCTCTCTCACAACGGTTGCGGCCCCCTGTAAGTGTATGGAAATGGACCCCAGTTTTGTCTGTCCGGAGACAGGCCTGTTGTTAGATTCAGAGACTTGTCTAAAGTCAGAGGCGGAAGCAGAGCCAGGGAAAATGAGAGTCTGACAGAGAAAGCTGGAGAAGGAAAAGCTTGCTAGAATATCCCTCTGCTTATTTAGACTACATTTCTAATTTATTCATTTATACTTTAAATAATTCATCTACTTATTAATTCATGGCTCCAGAGGAATATCATTATCCATCTTGTATCCAGAAGCATAAACAATTCTCTGGCCTATGAGGACTGCGGCAGGCTGAACAAAACTTTCAACAGGAAATATTTGCCGATAACTTTTTGTGAGAAATGAATAGGAAACCAAACTTTGAAGTGTCAAAGATGAAAAGATGAGCCAAACCTGTTAGTGTATTCAAAACGTCAGTGTTTTCTCTTCCTGTCACACACACATAACTCTTTTACTCTTTCATCTGGGTACACTCATAGTTTTGTTTTTAGTATACAGCACCTGGCAAGGTCAAACCTCAGGTGGCTTCACATTGTCATTGAAACTTGACTCCATATGCTTAAACCCAGAAGTCAAACATGGACACACACACACACACACACACACACACACACACACACACACACACACACACATACATACAAGTACACAAACACACACACACACACAGTGCATATCATATCATAGCAGAGTTTCTTTCAGATGGCTGAGCAGCTCAAACTGGCTTTGGGCTGTGTGTGTGTGTGTGTGTGTGTGTGTGTGTGTGTGTGTGTGTGTGTGTGTGTGTGTGTGTGTGTGTGTGTGTGTGTGTGTGTGTGTGTGTGTGTGTGTGTGTGTGTGTGTGTTGCGGGGGGGGCTTGAGGAGGAGAGGAGACTGTCTGTCCCAGTCTTTTCCTGTGCTGCTCTGTAGCCCCTGACAGCAGCCCCCTTGGTTGAGCCCTGAGGGGTAAGCAAGCCAGCAATAAGGCAGAGAGAGGAAGAGTGCGTGTGTGTGTGTGTGTGTGTGTGTGTGTGTGTGTGTGTGTGTGTGTGTGTGTGTGTGTGTGTGTGTGTGTGTGTGTGAGAGAGAAAGAGAGAGGGAAAGACAGAGAAAGAAAGACGTGACGGTGTCATACAAGAAATCCAAACAGGATGCCACTTACACTGAACACTGGCACTGCCCGTCCAGGCGAAGGGGTCCAGCCCGGCAAAGAAGGGGCTTGCCTTCCGCAGCATGCATGCACCGCGGCTGGTGACATCATAGAGCTGACGGGGGCCCATTCCCAGAGCCTCCATACAGTCAAACATGGCACCCCCCCCC